TCCATTCCATCATTTACGCGGGAAACGGCGCCTGGAGGGTGCGCATTAGGTCGCTCTTACGTTGTCGCTGACGTCATATGACGTATCAGACTGTGATTGGGCCACGCATCCTTACCTCCCTCCACCGCTAGCTGTGATTGGTCTGATGTAACATGACATGCCCTGCCACCAGAGGGAAGAAGTCGCTGACCTAGCCGGGCCAGTCTCATTGTTCTCAGTTCTCCGCGTATATACTGTTCTCTCTTGTGCCCGCTATTCCCCTCACAATGGCTTCCGCTGGACCCCCACCACCCCCGAGAAATCTTGAACTACCTGGACCAAGCCATGGTTATGCGAAGGAAGTCATCGAGTTGGGGGAGAAAATCAAGCTCATCCTTGACAAAGACACAGTCAAGCATCAGTATGAAGTGTTTCATAACCTTCTGTCGAAAGTTATGGAGCTGTATGTCCAGATGTATCACGACAACATCAATGCTAGTCATCAACGTAGTGTTACGGACTTCTTTGCCCGCAACCCACCACAACCACAGCCAGCCCAAGTCAGTGATAGTGACAGTGAGGATATGGACTTTGAGGGGTTTGTCAGGGAAGACATGCAAACCTCTGTGAATAGTGATAGTGATTCACCGGAGGGCCACTAATCTGCCCTCTGGAACCAGCCGCCATCCATGTGTGCCGACCCATCTCTTCTACAGTAGAAGTCCAAAAATCCGGACTGCTTGGGGATTGGGTCGGTCCGGATTTTCGGATTTTCCGGATTCTCAGGCAGTACTTTTAAAATTCAAATTTAATGAAGAATAAAGAAGAAATGAACAGGTACATTTTGATAGTTTATTCATTTGCAAATATAGCATGCTTCATTTATCAAAACGAGCAGTTTTAATGAAAAAGCTGTGAATTCTAAATTTTATTCTTTGCCTTTTATATATCATAAATTGTAGACTTTCCAATGTCGTATGTTTCCATTAGAACAGTATTGCTCACACCACGATCTAGTTTCTTAATTATTTCAAGTTTGTCACTCAATTTCAATGTGTTCTTCTTTCTCTTCACACAACGAAGTTTATCTACTTTAGGAGCCATTATTATGGGCTTGTACAGTACTCTGTAAATGGAAAGAGTAGGACTCAAAATATTGTTATATTACAATGGTATTCTATTCATACTGTGCTTGATATAATGCATTCACGGAAATGTAATATTTTTGCTGAACGTACGTATTACAGTGGAAAGTGGGATAAAATCGTGATGAAAACAATGACTTTCGCTTTCTTTCGTTCAAAAGATGTTACCGTAATCGCTTTTCGAATGGTTTTCAGTTCAAAAACTGTTGTATTACAATAATATTCTATCCTAATTGACTTGAATAAATACTACGATACCATATTTCTGAATATTTTCATTAAAATCCATCAAAATCATTTTCCTTGTCATCGTCTGCAGCACCAAACAGCTTCTCCCAGTCCTCTCTTTGAACAGGGCTAGAGGGTACGTGTTTTTCGAATCGTTTTCAGTTAAAAAACTATTACATCACTCGTCTATTTTACCTAAACTGCGCCTGAATGAATATATTCTCGGAGATAAATAGTAGTTTTGTGGAAACGTGACGTATTTCAATGTAAAATAGGATAAAATACATGACGAAAACAAAAGACTTTACCTAAGCTTCCGATGTTCTTGAGATGTTACTCGTTTTTTTAATAGTTTTCGGTTAAAATTCTGATATATTACAATGATATTCTATTCATACTGTGCTTGATATAATACATTCACGGAAATGTAATATTTTTCCTGAAATTACATACGTATTACAGTGGAAAGTGGGATAAAATCATGACGAAAACAATGACTTTCGCTTTCTTTCGTTCAAAAGATGTTACCGTAATCGCTTTTCGAATGGTTTAGTTTAAAAACTGTTGTATTTCAATAATATTCCCTCCTAATTGACTTGAATAAATACTTGAATGGAAATATACAATATTTTTGTTGAAACTACCTGGGTTTCAGTGTAAAGTGTCGTAATAATAAATGGTAAACAATTTGCCTTCAGCACTTATGTTTCATGCACGGCGAGCCTCAGTTTATAGGACGTAGAGCGTTTTTAGTGGTTTTGTTGTTCCATTACCCTCAAAAACGTGGGTGGAACTATAAACGAGGAATATCATAAATTAACGATTTCTTGGTAAAAAAATCAGGGTCGACTGATAACGAGGGGGGGTTATAGACGAGTATATACGGTATGTTGTCACAGTTTGATTGCCCATTTTAAAGTGGCGACCACGTGGTCGCTTGTTGTCGCTGTGCAGCTGTGGCGCTCACGCATGCGCACATGCACACAAATGCCCGCTAAAAAAAAAAAATCTTTTTTGAAAAGTCCGGATTCTCGGGTGGTCCGGATTTCTGGCATCCGGATTTTTGGACTTTTACTGTACTAACATAAGTGTTAAACACCTTTAGTATAGTAGTGTAGTTTTTTATTTAGATATTATGTGTGTCAATACCATCATAAAATTATAATGTTATTTTTACTACAAGGTACGTATTGTGTCGGAAAAAGTGGAGTTTGGGAGTCGGCCCAGTCTCTATTTCAATTAATCCCATATGTTCTGTTATTTCGTTTATGCGTTTCTCGTTTTACGCGGACCTCCACGGGTTCAATTGACTGCGTAAATGCAAACTATACTGTACTTTACTGTACATCCCATATTGAAAGTAGCAAGGAATAAAAAAATAGAGGAGAATTAATTTGTGAAAACTGAGACATTTGCTGTGGCTGTCACCTATGGATCAGGTAAACTAGTTTCATTTTAAGAAGAAGAAGTAAACTATAATTTATCAGAAGTATTGCCAGTCACACTTACATAAGCACTTAAAGCAATAACTATGTACTCAAGACAAATTTCACTTCTTTTGTTGTGGTACATGTATGTTCAAATAATCTGATTATGTGACTCAAACACATGAAAAGCCAGACAATGTATTGTACCATACTCTCTTATGAGTATACAGGACTGTATACTATTTATATCACTGTTGTGCACTAAACTGGATCCCTATACAGTAATATCTGAACAATAGCCCAACATTAAAGAATTAATTATTAGAGTAAAGAACACACCTGCTTCTCCCTATAGGTGAGAGATGCTTTCACTACACTTATAAACTGTCCTGTACTCCATGACTGAGAACAAAGGAGGAACAAAATTTACATCTCTGAAGGGACCTCATGAACCTATCATAGCATATCAGGCCAAGATTTGTTTAAGAGCTACACAAACTACAAGTAAATTCAACTGGGTGTAAATATGATGATGTTCCACAAAGACACAGAGTAGAAGACCAGAGTTCTGACCATCAGTTGTGTTCTTAAATGTGGATCCAAACTTTTCTAGCAATTGAGGTAGAGGCGGATGACTTGGTGTTTTTACAATTATAAAATGAGCTAATATTATGCTATCCATAGGACATTATACAATATTATACTTTGTTCATTACTACAGTTCTGTTGTTTCTCTTTCCCCTACTGAGAGGTGACTAGACCCCTTTTCTAGTCAAAAGAATGGTACTGTACTTATGTGTCAATAATAAACTGAGCAGCCTCCAGCACCTGAACTGTAATATCATTGCCATTATTCAGAAGATCCCTAATGGTACAAAAGACTGGAACTGCTTTCAATCCCCAAATTATCAAGTCCACAGCCTAAATAACTTAAAACTAAAATGACTCAGAGAATCTTTTCCTTTAACAAGTTGCACCATATGAGTCACCAGAGGAATCTACTGCACTTGTTCTACAATGAGGAGTACTGTATGTCTCAACACCTCCATCAATTGTGATACAACTGATTTTTGAGCTGTTGATTAAAGTAAAGTTTCTGCCATTCTCCCTGAAATCATTTTTAATCACTTCTCAACTAGGCTTCCTTTTTGTCCACTTAGACCAGGGGTTCTCAAACTTTTTTCAACCAAGGACCCCTTATATACCATGACGCATACAAATATTGTCAATAATCAAAGAATAAATCATAGTCCAAAGCAAATGTTCATTTTAACCCAAATCCAAAATATCCTGTGAATTGGAATCGCCAAATCTCTCACAAATGTTAAACGCACTATTTCTCAAAAACTTTTCGCGGACCCCAGTTTGAGAATCACTGATTTAGACAACTAATTGTGCTGTCCAACATCAACAACCAATACAGTATTACATGATACATCACAAACCCACTAAAAAACTGCTGGAAACGAATACATCAACAATACCAAGGAAGACATATTGTATAGTTGTAACAGGGTACCCACTATGTAAGCTTCCCTGTACTGTGCTGTGCTGTGCTGTGCTGTGCTGTGCTGTACTGTACTGTACCGTACTGTACTGTAGAGTACCATACTGTACTGTACTGTACAGCATGCTAAGGTCCAGAGTGTACATGTTAAGCTGTAGGTGTTTGTCTTAAGGTGCATTTATTACCTCAACTTTCTGACTCATTAACAGAACTTTAATACCATTTACAAATTAAGGATAATACAGTACATGTTGAAGTTTGACTCTAACAAGCAGTATACAATAGCTTTTCTCCTGTAGAGATTTACAATTACAGAGAACATTTTCATGAGAATAAATACATTTAATTCACAAAACACTGACCATTAAATACCTTTGTTCGCTAGTTACTACTTGTACATGAATTCCTGAGTCCTACTTATAACACCTAAGGACAAACCTCTAGTACAGTATAAAAAGTTGTATTTCTTAATCATAAACATATGCTCAGTGGGTAAAGGTACAGTTTTGAAACATTCTGTGAACTCTTAAAAGTAGAAACACACTCTATGCATACCAGTACAGTAGTTCACACCAAAGATGGGAATATTAGGAGAAAAAGGATAGGATTTTGTGTTAGTATTTTTACCTATTTTCTACATTCCTTCTTTTCCAAACATTGCTGACTACCCATTACACAAACAATTTTAGTTGTTAGGAGTAAAATATGTCTAACCTGTCTGTATGGCCGAGAATAGGAGAGTGAAGATCCCTGTGAGGACTGAGAGCTCCGCCGCACCCTCCTGACACCACCTGTGTCCCCATTTGCATCACTATGGTGGTGGTGGTGGGAACATGAACCAGTGTGGCGATGATGGTGGTGGTGATGATGGCCACTACTGCTCCCACTCCCACCAGTACTGCCACCACCACCACCTCCTCCTCCTCCTCCTCCTCCTCCTGTTGAGCTGGAGGTGGGGGCATTGTGGGCAGAAGATCTTCGTGAGGGCCGTGGAGAGGGCACTGGAGACGTCTGTGTTGTGGAGCTGATCACCCTCTTGGATAAGGAGTGTGGTAATGAGAGAACCTCCGGTCCACCTTCTTTCTTCTGCAATGATCCCAGGCCAGAGGAGCGTGAGTGTGACACCCCGCCTGACCACCGCTGCTGCCCCCTCGAAGGTCCACTCTCAACCCCTTGTCCCCGAGCTCCACTCCCACTTCCTGGCTGAGATCCCCGGGGGCCACTTCCCAGCCCCGTCACCAAACCTCTCGTCCCACTGCCTATACCTGGTAAAGATCCCCTTGTTCCTCTTCTCCCAAGAAGAGAACTGTGACATCTCTGAAGTGACCCTGGACTGGGAACCATGCTGAGAGATGACCGGGAGGAGGACAGTGAACTACTGGGAGATACTTTAGGTGAGGAAAGTGAACCACTATTAGAGGGAACTCGAAATGTTTGTAGTGGACTATTTTTGGGGGATGCTCGCCCGGTAGGGAGTGGACCATTCTTGCTGGGAGGTGCACGGTGGTGTTGAAGGCCGAGAGAGGGATGGGAAGCCACAGCCGCAGGGAGGGTCAGGGGAAGCTGCTGGTTAGGACCCGTCACCAACACAACCACAAACCGCCACCCAGGAGAGCCAAAGTCAGTAACACAACATAAAAAAAAATCAAAATTACTGAAGCTAAACAAAAAAGAAGCACTAAAAATAAAAAAATTAAAATAAATAAAATAAAGCAACACATTAAAAAAATACCCCAAATAATCAACATAGAGGTTAACTGAAGAAATTCCCATCAGCAGCAATAATAATACTGTAAATAATAAAAGATGCACAAACAGTTAGGAGCAGACTATGAAAGCAAACAGTCATTAGTAGGTAATAAAAGCAGAGATGCCCCAATTAGTTTAAATAAGCAATACCCTACTGAACCATTAACACCTGTGATTCCTTCCTGTCAACTATCATAACACACCTGCACTAACCATTATACACCTGCACTAGCCATTACACACCTGCACTAACCATTATACACTTGCACTCAACATTACACGCCTGCACTAACCATTACACACCTGCACTAACTATTACACACCTGCACTAACCATTATACACCAACACTAACACACTAACCATTACACACCTGCACTAACCATCACACACCTGCACTAACCATCACACACCTGCACTAACCATCACACACCTGCACTAACCATCACACACCTGCACTAACCATCACACGCCTACATTAACCATTACACGCCTCCACTAACCACCACACACCTGCACTAACCATCACACACCTGCACTAACCATCACACACCTGCACTAACCATCACATATTGTCAATGCCTCATCGTATTGTCAATGCCTCATCATGTCGTCAATGCCTCATCATGCTGTCAATGCCTCATTACGGTGTCAATGCCTCATCACGTTGTCAATGCCTCATCACGTTGTCAATGCCTCATCATATTGTCAATGCCTCATCACGGTGTCAATGCCTCATCATATTGTCAATGCCTCATCACGGTGTCAATGCCTCATTACGGTGTCAATGCCTCATCACGTTGTCAATGCCTCATCGTATTGTCAATCCCTCATCATGCTGTCAATGCCTCATCATGTTGTCAATGCCTCATCACGGTGTCAATGCCTCATCACGGTGTCAATGCCTCATCATATTGTCAATGCCTCATCACGGTGTCAATACCTTATCATGTTGTCAATGTCCCATCACGGTGTCAATACCTCATCATGTTGTCAATGCCCCATCACGGTGTCAATGCCTCATCACGGTGTCAATGCCTCTTCATATTGTCAATGCCTCATCACGGTGTCAATACCTCATCATGTTGTCAATGCCCCATCACATTGTCACTGCCTCATCATGTTTATCAAGTTACTACTGTACCAGTACACACATGGGAAGAGCCACACGTTCAAATAATTTCTGGCATCATATGAGAAAGTTAGTGTTGCAAGTGTGTTTCATGTTGACGATTATGACTAAGATGGTTCCAGCTTTAAAAATTCTTGTGTTTTCTAACTGATTACTGTGACAAAACAACAATCAACTGCACTGATTCACTGTTCAATTTGTTTTTACCAGTATACCTGTATTATAACTGTTATTCTAAGTTCGTTACCATCTCTAATTGAAAAAGGAACTCGTTACATAGAGGTCAAGTCCTGTAACACTAAACACGGGAGATGCTGAGATGCTGTAATCAACTGTAATAAGATGCTCAGACCTTCTAAACTAACTAGTGAAGCAAGCAACAAAGCAAAGCATGTTAATATAAGCAACTAAATAATACAAACAAAGAATTATGTAAAAGTTGTGGCGTTGCACTAGTAGGTACAGTACAGGCTTAAACCACATACATAATGAACATGGGTTGTGTGGTGGGCAAAACCAGAGCTTATATCATAATTATATTGTATCAACTAAACCTTTCCCATGAACACCAATGGCTAAATAAAATGTTAACATATGCTCACAAAATATCTGTTTGGCTGTCTCTAAGTTCTCAAAGTTAAAGCAATAAAATGAATCTGCTTTACACTAGAAATCACAAAAATAAAAATCCTATTGAAAAATGTGATTCAAGATGCATTGCCTACTTCTGTGTTGAGATTCTGTTGTAACACTTAGATGCAATATTCACTGAACTGGGACAATACTGCAATTCATGAAAGGTTAACAATTTGATCCACTCTTATAGAATTTGGGTAAAATTTAGTCAACGTTATACAATAGTTTCATCCATGAAATAGTGGTCAATTTATACACTGTAATTAGTTCTCCATAATAAAGCTTGGGTTAAGTATCCAAATAAGATACAGTGCTGTTATTAGTATTGGGAGGCCCGAAATGGTGGATATAGACCTACATTATGTTTTCTTGTTAGTCTTGGTATTAGGAATAGAATACAATCTTTAAAACTACCCATACCTTCATTAACATACCTTAAAATTAAAAGGGAAATACAAATACATTTTAACTACCACCTATTGGTTATAAGTTAAATTATTATCTGAAAGTAACTGGTCAAATATTAAGTTGTATACAGTCGAGCCAACAGCTGTGGAATGGTCAGTATATCTCAGGTCACAGGTCCTTCAACAACACCCCTGGTACAGTGTCCCAAGTCACAGGTCCCTCCTCAACACCCCTGGTACAGTGTCCCAGGTAACAGGTCTCTCATCAACACCCCTGGTACAATGTCTCAGGTCACAGGTCTTCCATCAACACCCCTAGTACAGTGTCCCAAGTCACAGGTCTCTCATCAACACCCCTGGTACAATGTCTCAGGTCACAGGTCTCTCATCAACACCCCTGGTACAGTGTCCCAAGCCACAGGTCTCTCATCAACACCCCTGGTACAATGTCTCAGGTCACAGGTCTCTCATCAACACCTCTGGTACAATGTCTCAGGTCACAGGTCTCTCATCAACACCCCTGGTACAGTGTCCCACCTCTCATCAACACCCCTGTGCAGTGTCTTAGGTCTCTCAACAACACCCTGGTGCAGTGTCTCAGGTCTCTCATCAACACCCTGGTGCAGTGTCCAGATCACAGGTCTCTCAACACCCCTGGTACAGTGTCTCAGATCACAGGTCTCTCATCAACACCCCTGGTACAGTGTCTCAGGTCACAAGTCTCTCATCAACACCCCTGGTACAGTGTCTCAGGTCTCATCAACACCCCTGGTACAGTGTCTCAGGTCACAGGTCTCTCATCAACACCCCTGGTACAGTGTCTCAGGTCACAAGTCTCTGATCAACACCCCTGGTACAGTGTCTCAGGTCTCTCATCAACACCCCTGGTACAACGGCTCAGGTCCCAAGTCCCTCATCAACACCCCTGGTACAGTGTCTCAGGTCTCATCAACATCCCTAGTACAGTGTCTTGGGTCACAGGTCTCTCATCAAACCCCTGGTACAGTGTCTCAGGTCACAAGTCTCTCATCAACACCCCTGGTACAGTGTCTCAGGTCTCTCATCAACACCCTGGTACAGTGTCTCAGGTCACTCAACAACACCCCTGGTGCAGTGTCTAAGGTCACAGGTCTCATCAACACCCTGATACAATGTCTCAGGTCACAGGTCTCATCAACACCCCTGGTACAGTGTCCCAGGCACAGGTCTCATCAACACCCCTGGTACAATGTCTCAGGTCAGGTCTCTCATCAACATCCCTGGTAGAGTGTCCCAGGTCACAGGTCTCTCATCAACACCCCCTGGTACAGTGTCCCAGGCACAGGTCTCTCATCAACACCACTGGTACAGTGTCTCAGGTCACAGGTCTCATCAACACCCCTGGTACAACGGCTCAGGTCCAAGTCCCTCATCAACACCCCTAGTACAGTGTCTCGTCCCAAGTCCTCATCAACACCCCTGGTACAGTGTCTCAGGTCACAGGTCTCATCAACACCCTAGTACAGTGTCTCAGGTCACAGGTCTCTCATCAACATCCCTAGTACAACACCCCTAGTACAGTGTCTCAGGTCCCAAGTCCCTCATCAGTACCCCTAGTACAGTGTCTCAGGTCACAGGTCTCTCTCAGCACCCCTAGTACAGTGTCCCAGGTCACAAGTCCTCATCAACACCCATAGTACAGTGTCTCAGGTCTCATCAACATCCCTAGTACAGTGTCTTAGGTCACAGGTCACAGGTCTCTCATCAACCTAGTACAGTGTCTCCAGGTCCCAAGTCCCTCATCAGCACCCCTAGTACAGTGTCTCAGGTCACAGGTCTCTCATCAGCACCCCTAGTACAGTGTCCCAGGTCCCAAGTCCCTTATCAGCACCTAGTACAGTGTCTCAGGTCTCATCAACACCCCTGGTACAGTGTCTTAGGTCACAGGTCTCTCATCAACACCCCTAGTACAGTGTCTCAGGTCCCAAGTCCCTCATCAACCCCTAGTACAGTGTCTCAGGTCCCAAGTCCTCATCAGCACCCCCTAGTACAGTGTCTCAGGTCACAGGTCTCTCATCAGCACCCCTAGTACAGTGTCCCAGGTCACAAGTCCCTCATCAACACCCATAGTACAGTGTCTCAGGTCTCATCAACATCCCTAGTACAGTGTCTTAGGTCACAGGTCTCTCATCAACACCCCTAGTACAGTGTCTCAGGTCACAAGTCCCTCATCAACACCCCTAGTACAGTGTCTTAGGTCACAGGTCTCTCATCAACACCCCTAGTACAGTGTCTCAGGTCCCAAGTCCCTCATCAGCACCCCTAGTACAGTGTCTCAGGTCTCATCAACACCCCTGGTACAGTGTCTTCCTAACATTCACATAATACTGCATAAACAATTACTGTAGTAATCAAACATTACTTAATGCATAATACAGTATACAGTATTGTATTATGAATGGAAGCACCGACTTCTGTGAAAATAATAAACCTTTTTGAAATATACATAGTGAATAATTTATTTTTCAATAATTATTATTTTCTAGATATCCTTAATAAAAGAAGTACTTTCTTATCAATATACAGTACATATTTATCAATAATATATAGAAGTGCCTGATAAACAAATACAAATTACAATACTGTACTGAAGTGTACGCTGTCTTATGCCCTGTACAGTAACTACAGAATACCAATTATCAGAAATAATATAAAACTTAAAGAACTAAAGTAACTTTACTGTCTGTACAAATTGGTTCTTAAAGACTTAAATTTTGAACAGTGTAATGCAATTTATCTACCCATGTATAATTATCAATGGTTAAAAACAGAAATTTCATCTCAGAGAACAGGTACTATACAGTATTTGTAAGCTAAAAGGCATTTCCTCATCACTAACATGAATCAAATACAGTACTTCATAAATAAACAGATCAAGATAGTAAATTAAGTAAAAATAAATAAATAAGAAATAAATAAAAACATAACAAATAGTAGATGTAGTTAGACATAAAGAAAGTGCATGGGGAGTTAATCAGCTGAAAAATATACATAAACATACTTGACGAACTACAAGATGACAGAGTTAACTATGGAAGCCATCAGGGTGTGGATTCTCTAAGGCTTGTACTGCACATTCATATTTCCCCCCTAATTCGAGTACAGGTAGTAGTGACTTCAACTGTGGTATGAACAAAGCAGTCTAAATTGCCCTGGATCACTCTTACCTGTGGCTGAGTTGTCTTAGAAACTAGACCCAGCTGATAAACTTATTCACCTGCAGATTTGGCACCCCACCTTATTCCACTTGAAGAATCGGCACCCCAGCTTATTTCCTTGAAGATTAGGCTCCTCAACTTATTTTGCATGAAAATTAGGCTTCCCACTTATTTCACTTGGAAAAAATAGGTACCCCAGCTTATTTCACCTGATTATTAACCTCTCTATTACTATCTGGGTGGGGAGTTAGGTTGGGTTAGCTTAAGTTAGGTTAGGTTAGGTTAGCATTAGTGTGCTTAATCTTCAGGTGAAATAAGCTGGGCTGTCTCAACTTCAGGTGAAATAAGCTGGGTTGTCTCAACTTCAGGTGAATTAAGTTTAGTGCCTAAAATTCATGTGATATAAGCTGGGGTTGCTAATCTTGCAGTGAAATAAGCTGTGCATAATGCCAGGTAATCTTATAAACTTAATGAACCCATCTTTGAGAAACCAGACTAGAGAGCTTCCATTAATACAGTACAGCTTACACTACAGGTACAGTACAGGCGGCAAGACCATCTACAGTCATCCAAGGAGAGAAATAACAAACATGAATATAAGCGGGGCTGTGTGAGAGGAGCAGAGCTAAAGTGTCAAGCATACAAGTAAAGCTAGTGAGATTCCCAGCACAGGTACAGGGTATTATGAACACAAACAATCAATAGGATGCACAGAGAAGATAAAAGAATCGATGAACAAGATGACGATATACTAACAAACTACTAAGGAAATAAATTGCCCAGGAGGATAAAAAAAAAGAATGAGAAAGAGAATGAAAAACAAGTTTGATGGATGTATTATCATGGTCATAGTCTAGTAATACCTAGAGATATGAAACATGATACTGTAAAAGTTATTAGTACATACAGTATGAAGAAATGTACAGTACCCCAAAATGCAGGAAGTAAAGCAGATGGACTCACTATCTACACTGTGTATGAATGAAGGTAAGAGCATCACTGTTTACATCCTATTACAATGAAGACATTATCAGCTAAACACAGCAAGAACAATACAGTACTATCTTGACGGCATTATGGTACAAAGAGGAGTTATTTCTTACACCTCATGCCTCCATCCCACTCCACCTCTATCTGTTAAAGTATCTCCTTTGACCTCTACTGTACTCTACTCTCCTTTTTTCCCTTCTCCCATTCTCTCCCTAAAGAACTGTTGCCTCCCTCTCCCCTACTGCACTTACTACACAACCCCTGTACTGTACAAACCACCCTACTAACTTAGGCTCTTGTTATCCTACTCACATAGCAAAATATCAAACTCATGAAACCACTCCACGAATTCCACCACTACACAATACTGTATACATCTTCTGCCTTCTCTGCCATTCTAAATACTGTACCCCCATACACTTTGCTACTTCTCTCCACCTTCCATTTATAGTCATCCTAAAAGTAATTAATTTCTAAAGCTTGAATTTAAGGTCATTCTACTTCATTCCATGTCCATGTACCACTGCCATCTGTCATGGTAGGAAGTACTATAGTCCCCCTCACTTTCATCTTTACCCCCAAGTTTGCATTCCTTCTGAGTGATGCTGCCTTACACTTCAGTAATCCTCTCCCTGATTGCACCCTCTATTGTACAGTATGTACTATATTATTCTTACCTAACATCACTCCCAAATACAGTTCTGTACAGGGTATTCTATTTACTGTACTAAAGTGAGAACAGCATTACCCACATCATTAATAGCATTACTAGCTACAGCATCAACATAAGAAGCAAATATAAAGTACTGTGCTGTAGAAGAGTGGTACAGTAACAAGACTATGAGAAGAAACATAAAGGTATGCTGGAGAAGCTTACAAGACTCTACATCCTCAAGTAAAAGCTAGAAGAACTGCAAGTACACCAAGTATGACAAGTGAGTGAGTGTGTTAATCATCAGAGAATTAGAGAGAGACTGGGAAGGAGGGAGGGAGAACATCCACTTACCGGGCCTGGCTTGGAGGGTGTCTGTGTGCCAATAGACTCCCGCACCACCTTGCGTCCGTCCTCATCCTCTGCCACCTCTGTGTTTTGCTTGATTTGCTGTAAAAGCAGACTCCCATGATAATATATCACCCAGAATGGTCACACATAAGCAATACAGTATCTTTAAAAATGGAAAAATGGGATAACATTTTGCTATTTAAAATAGTATTTATTTCTAATTAAAAGACTGAGAGGGACAGCTGATAAGTGCAACAGCAAACAAAGAAACCAAAAGTAATAACTTCATAGTCTTATAATCTTTTCATAACAAGAAAATGTGTACAAATTGTGGATGACCCGTCACTGGCTGAGGGCTAAGTAACTACCAGTGTACCTGTATACAAATTATGAGGAACCCTGAGGGATCTCACCGGGGAGTCAGACAACATTGGGGATGGATGGCCCAACAGACAGACTAACAACACAGCTCAAAATCATATCTCTCCAACCCTTTGAATGCTATTTGTGACCTTGACCTCTAATGTACAAATCTAAGTTCTTGTTCACAAAACAGTCTGACAATGATACATAAATGTTTGATCTTTCATTACACTGTTAAGGACAGTTGAAAAGTTGCAGAACAATGAAAATTTTTCTTTAACTCAAAGTGTATCTCTAATGTCAATCCCTGGGCCAAAGATGTGGTTCTTGTTTGCAACACTACACACTGCTTCTACATAAGACACAAGAAAACACACTACACAAATGAGGGAGACCCCTTACTGGTGTTACCATCATGAGGTACATCTGGGGAGCATGTGAACAAAAAATCTTAAAGCATTCATCTGCATTAAGGAGGACTCTAACAGACAACAAGTACAGTTGTGTATCACTACTAGTGACCAAGTCTTGTATTTCAGAAATTACAAATTATACAAACTGAGATCCCCTTATTGATTTTACCTTCAGAAGGAACAGTGAGGGGTCTTGGGGATACTGTACAGGAATTAAGTGGTTTCCTTGGGTTGTTTATCTTTGTTTAGGAGGAAACAAGCAAAAAAAGAGTTAACACAGACAGACAAACGTTCAGACACACAGACGACATGACTCATGACACTAAGGAATTGATCCAGAAATCCCATTTCATAGTCATGACTGGACTGGTGACTCATGTACTGTATACTGTACTAAGACAAGTTTATGAGGTGAAAACCCAGAGTTCTTAAGACCCATCTAGACACTGCAACTATTCTGAAAATCAATGTTTAGCCCCCAACTCACCCGGGACTTTATAAACCAGATGGATACAAAATTTACCAATATCCTTGTACTGTACTGTAGTTATGTTTTACAATCTGACATAACATAGAAGACCCGACCTCAGTAACCTCTGACATGTGGTTCCCAAACAAGGACCAGTTATTTCCTTGATTAAGAATAAAAGGCAATTTATTTGATGTGAAATTCTACCTAGCCAGACAGAACTAGCCAACAGCTTGCTGAACCTCACTGATGATGATCATGGATGGAGTGGATGTGTCTGAGTGGTGGCAAAGATTCACAGCATTCTGCCTTCTGTTTTGGACTTATATATCCAACAGGTCTTTTAAAACCCAGGAATGAGAGGAAGGTATAAACTAATTTTGGGCTTAATTACTCTTATTAGATGGGACCTGGGAATAATGTACAGTACCTTTCACCCCACACACTTGTCTGACCATATACAGTACAGCATCAGTTGTCTGCACCAGGAACTACCATATAAAAAAGTATCAACTCAAAAAACCTCATACTGGTACCCCGTACTCACTCTTTAAAAATAAAATTGAATAAAATATTTTTTTCACCAGAATAAAGATTTAAAATAAGACAAACCAACTAAAAATGCATTGTATGAAATGCTTCTTGTTTCATAAAAAAACATAGGTACAGTATTAAAAAAAATAATCTGAAAATTGAAACTTTATCTAGTAATAATACACATTCATAGGAACTGTCATCAAAATATTTATAGATATAGAGGAGTAACAAACGAAACTACCCTGTACTACTGCCTCAGAAATCACCAGTTTACCACAGGTGGACTTACACCCAGGGGTCATGGGAATTTAAAGTACAGTACAGTACTGTACATAGGATTTCCAAGAGTCATTTATCTTAATTTGGGAGGATTTAAGCAGAAAAAAGTGAAAAGACAGAAGCCAGACCAAATATTTTAAGAGATTTATATTATGTAAAGTAGGGAACCCCAAGTGAATTTAATTTTGAAAAGAATATCAAGAGATCATGACAATAAAAAAATATTAAAAAGTGGTTTCCTAAGACTTAAGTTCCCTGAGGAAGAATCAATGGACAACCACTAGTGATCCAAGGTCAGTGTGTAGCAATGACAAATTATGAAAATCATTTGGGTCCCCTACTTCTTTCACCTTAAAACAGGATACCAAGGTTGTGGGCATTAGGAACATAACTTACAGTACCTGTATTCCTGGGTTATTTATTATAGTTAAAGAAAAACCCGAGTAGAAAAAAATTAAATAAACAAGAGAGGTGGATGGATTCACAGATGATGAGTCATGACCAGGCGCAGAGCATCAATTAGTTTACTAAAAATAAATGCACGTTCCTCCCACAGTGTTGCTCGAGACAGAGGCTGCAGAGGTGTACATTAGGAAATGAATTAATATTAAGGTCCAGGTAGGTAGTAAGCAGCTACCAAACAGGGAGGTACTACCACCTGGGAAGATATTGGAAGCATAATGTGTTGTCTAATGGTAGACCCTGCTGCCATATGGCATCACGAAAATTGTGACCAAGTCCCAGGTTGCTGAACTGACTTTCTGCCTCAATTACACACAATTGCAGGGTCTCAATTGTTGCTCTTACTATTGACAACACAACATATATAGAGTACATTGTTTCTCACTTTTGATCTTTTTTTCTTTATGGTTCTTTATTATTACTATTATATTATTTTTAATTTGTTTTTATTTTATTATAAATTTCACTTAATATGAATAATAATTATTATTATTTTTATTATTATCAAATTTTTGCCCCCCAGACCCCGATGTGGGTCAGTGACCTGTGCCCGGGTGGACTAATCCCCGTAAAAAAAAATAATAAAAATAAAATAAAAAGTTAATGACATAACAATAAAGGCTGCACAGTATTTAAAATAATTCAATATTTATGACATGAATAACAGGAGACACCAGTGAAGTAAGGTGCTGTTATTTTTATTTACGGTACTATACTTTATTTTATTTTATTAGGGGGGGGGGTGAGGGGGTGAGTGTTTGAAGCCTCCAAAGTATAATGTTTTCCCTCACACTGAGGGTGAGAGAAAAAGTGGAGATGGGAGAGAGAAGATGGGGAAAGGACATGAATAATAATAATAATAATAATAATAATAATAATAATAATAATAATAATAATAATAATAATAATAATAATAATAATAATAATAATAATAATAATAATAATAATAATAATATCACTTTTTTGCAGTCATTTTCCACTTATGGATTTGTGAATTATATTATCATTATTCATGGATGTGTTGTCCTATACTTTACTACAGTATCTGGAGGTCAACAGTGTCCAGGGGATTCAGTAAATGACCAACATGACATTTAACCTTACAGTATTTGAGGGAGGCAGTGTAACAACCTCAGTCATTTATTAAGACAAGGGCATTGGAAACCACCATACCATGAGAACAACACATCCTCGTGATATACAAACCAAGCTTATACAGTATCTTGAGGTGAAGAAACAACAGCACCAAAACTTGTGATTTAATAAATGACTTGTTGGTCATCACAGTGAAGCCTGAGGTTAGATGGATAGCTGTAATTTGCATTGACAGTTCACTTAAACACAGAGCAAAGTAGAGTAGCTGGCACATGTGATCTGAAACTGTACTCTCAGATGTTATTCACAGGAACAACTGTCTTAATTGTATCAGAATTATGAATACATAAGCACCATTTTCTAGGCCCCTCTCTCCTCTCACTCTGTCCCTGGTCATCACAATATCATAAACATTGTGGTAGTTGAGGGGTAGACAAGGAGAGGTAGAATAAGGAGAAGGAAGGAAGGAGGATAACATTGAGGAGAGGAGGTAAATAAATAATACAAAGCAAAATAAACACTTAAGAGTCTATGGCTATTGTTGACTGGTAAATAAGGTGGTAGCTTGTGTTCCCAGGTTATATCTCACCTAAGATACAGTACTGTACATGCAAATTCATGAAATAACCATACATGTATATGAAGGACTAAAAGTTGTGGGTAAGATTGGCAGTAAATGTGACCTGAAAACATTTACAATGTATGTGCCCATAAGAGGGTTCACAGCAGCAGGTGGTCGACAACTTAATGACACTTTTACTTACGCATTTGGGCCGCCTGCTAAGGCTGAGCTAAAGAAATAAAAGGAACTAAGTAAAATGCTTTAAATTTTCAGAAAAATGTCAGTGCACAAGTTGTGGATAACTATGATAATATTGTGAAAATCATTTAAATACCTTGATATTGTAATTTGGCATATAGTGTTGTAGCAACAGAGGGGTACAAATATTCTTTGTTCTACAATGAAAGCTTTACAGTTAATCCTGACAACAAATATCAGAGTCAAGGTATAAATCCCCTTATTGAGCAGTGGGGCAAGATTTGACAACACCAAGAGCAACATCCTAACAGGGGACACCTAATCCTGGGCAGGTAATCTCTATGACTCAGTACTGTACTAACATGAGCCATCACGACGCTTTTCTAATTAGTGTCGGAAACTCTCTTAAGAACAACAGAGGCTAAAGGCTTTGAACATCATACAAACATTATCCAGACAATAAGACAGTACAAAATTGGTCAAACAATATCTAAATCCCTCCAACTACCACATATGGTAACTGCTTTGTCCTAAGCATAAAGAGGAACATTTAAAGTTGAGCAAGCAGTAGTGGGCTAACCTGCAGCTTGGCAAGTGGGATGATGTCACAGTTCTGTGGTCGGTGCCAGACAGTCTTCTGTGACGTGGCGTTGTAGTAGTAGAACCTCGACGTGTTGGTGTCGAACAATTCCCACCACTGGTTGTCATCGAACTTTTTCCTGTTGAGGGGACAAACAACACACTTAGTCTAGCAAATAATCAATGCCGTAAGCACTTTGACACAACTACTGTACTATGAAATATGTACAGTACAGCATATAACAGCACCAATGATACATAAACCATGCTGTGAAGGACATCCTATTATCATTGTAATCACACAAATAGCAAAAATACATAAAAGAAATTATACTCTCACTGAAGTTTTTATTTTGATACGAGTACAGTACAAGAGATAAACTAATGCAGACATAATAAATCCTTACAAAGTTTAACTGACTCTAGGATGGAGGAGGAACCATATACATATCAAGTGACCACCACCACCACCAAGTAACATGCCTCTAAAACACCTCTACCCTTCAGGTAAACTCCATCCCAGGTGAAAAAACTAAGCCTAAACTCATTATAGTTATCAAAACCTTGTACAGTAGAGTATAAATAATATATATGTCTGCAACTTTTTACTTGTCACTTAACTCTACAATCATAGCACTCAAGTAATAAGTCTTTCCCCCTGACGGCGTGCAAGTTGTCATGTTCTTTACTGGACACCTTTTTAGAGTTAACCTTTATGGTAAATAGAAGGGATCACCTTAAGATTAGCCCCACAGCATATTTCACCTAAAGATTAACCATCCTAATGCTAGTCTAATCTAACCATCCTAATAACCTAACCTAATTCATCTTAATGTAACCTTACCTCCTATAATCTCATCTAACCTAACCCAATTTAACTACCCTAGCCTAATCTACCCTAACTTCTTAAAGTAGAATTAGTATGTTTGACCCCTTCACCAATGGAGTGTCACTTTCAGCATCTTATTTAGCTGACGCCAGACGATTTTACTCAGCACAGAGAGACCCCGTGCACAAGGGGGTTAATCATCAGGTGAAATAAGCTGGGGTTGCTAATTTTCAGGTGATCCCAAAGAATATCTACAGCAGTGATCTAAACACACCACACCTGACCATACCACACCTGTAAAAATACAAACTGACACACCTACACCTGACTTCATACCACTACAAACTGACACACCCACCCTGACTTCCCACTACAGAGAATACAAACTGACATACCTACACCTGACTACACCCACACCTGTAAGACATACCTACATCTGACTTCATTACACCTGTAAAAATACAAACTGACACACCTACACCTGACTTCATACCACACCTGTAAGACATACCTACATCTGTAAGACATACCTACACCTGTAAAACATACCTACACCTGACATTATAACACACCTGTGGGAATACAAATTGGCTACAGTATATGCGTATGGTATGTGACGAACAGTGGGGGAAGACCTTGGTGTCCCATCTTACACACCTGTTACTGTTATTACACGCATGTGACTGTTAATACACACGTTACTGTTATTCCACACATGCTACTGTTATTGCACACGTAACTGTTATTACACACATGACTTAATGCACACCTGTTATTGTTATTCCATACGTTACGGTTATTACACACGAAAGAATGCCAGTGTGACACCGCCTTTACTGTTAACACACATGTTACACACACCTGTTACAACACACCTGAGTGAAATTATTGGAGAGGCAGTCTGAAGAAATTAACCATTGCCAACAATTAATAAAATCTAGAAGTGGGCGTGATGGTGGGCGTGGGCGTGATGATGGTGTGGGCATGATGGTGGCGTGGGCATGATGGTGGCGTAGGCATGATGGTGGTGTGAGCGTGATGATGGTGTGGGCATGATGGTGGTGTGAGCATGATGATGGTGTGCGCATGATGATGGTGTGGGCATGGTGGTGGTGTGGGCATGATAGTGGTGGTGTGGGCGCGATGGTGGTGTGGGCGCGATGGTGGTGTGTGGGCAACGATGGTGGTGTGTGGCACCACGGTGGTGGGTGCGATGGGTGGTGTGGGCGTGATGGTAGTCTGGGCGTGATGGTGGTGGGCGCGATGGTGGTGTGGGCGTTGATGGTGGTGTGGGCGCGATGGTGGTGTAAGGATGCGATGGTGGTGTGGGGCATGATGGTGGTGTGGGCGTGATAGTGGAGTGGACATAATGATGGTGTGGGCGTGATGGTGGTCTGGGCATGATGGTGGTGTGGGCATGATGGTGTGTAATCATGATGGTGGTGTGGACGTGTTATTGGTGTGGGCATGATGATGGTAGGTATGATGATGGTGTGGGCATGATTGGTGTGGGTATGATGATGGTGTAGGTATGATGGTGTAGGTATGATGGTGGTGTGGGCATGATGGTGGTGTGGGTATGATGATGGTGTGGGTATGATGGTGGTGTGGGCATGATGGTGGTGTGGGTATGATGGTGGTGTGGGCATGATGATGGTGTGGGTATGATGATGGTGTGGGTATGATGGTAGTGTGGGTATGATGATGGTGTGGGTATGATGGTAGTGTAGGTATGATGATGGTGTGGGTATGATGGTAGTGTAGGTATGATGATGGTGTGGGTATGATGATAGTGTGGGCGTGTCAGTGGTGTGGGCATGATGGTGTGTAATCATGATGGTGGTGTGGACGTGTTATTGGTGTGGGCATGATGGTAGGTGTGGGTATGATGATGGGTGGGCATGATGGTAGTGTAGGTATGATGATGTAGGTATGATGGTGGTGTAGGTATGATGGTGGTGTGGGCATGATGGTGGTGGGCATGATGGTGGTGTGGGCATGATGATGGTGTGGGTATGATGGTGGTGTGGGTATGATGATGGTGTGGGCATGATGATGGTGAGGTATGAGGATGGTGGGGCATGATGGTGGTGTGGGCATGAGCGTGTGGGCTGATGATGGTGTGGGTATGATGGTGGTGTGGGTATGATGATGGTGTAGGTATGATGGTGTAGGTATAATGGTGGTGTGGGCAGATGGTGGGATGATGGTGGTGTGGGCATGATGATGGTGTGGGTATGATGGTGGTGTGGGTATGATGGTGGTGTGGGTATGATGATGGTGTGCATGATGGTGGTGTAGGCATGATGATGGTGTGTGGACATGATGGTGGTGTATGATGGTGTGGTATGATGATGGTGTAGGTATGGATGGTGTAGGCATGATGGTGGTGTGGGCATGATGATGGTGTGGGCATGATGATGGTGTGGGCAGATGGTGGTGTGGGCATGATGGTGTGGGTATGATAGTGTGTGGGCATGATGATGGTGTGGGTATGATGATGGTGTGGGTATGATGGTAGTGTAGGTATGATGATGGTGTGGGTATGATGATAGTGTGGGCGTGTCAGTGGTGTGGGCGTGGGGTCTCCGCAGTGGTTCTGTGACATATCACTTGACAACCAAGTATGAACACACCCCCCCAAGGAAAGCGTCTCCCTCCCTTCCTCACCAAAACACACATTTCTCTCCTTATCAAGTTTCATTATTACACTAACTGGCAACACAACACACTGGAAAGTTCCCGGATGTTAGTGTTATTTTCTGCTATTTCACTTATTTTCACCTCGAGTCCTTTTTTGCCACCGTACACCCGCCTCTCTGTTCCAGCACGTGAGGGATATAAGAGCCAAATTTAAGTCTAATTATCACTAAATTGAAGAAATTTCACTTCTTTCAGAATTTTTTTGTTTTATGTACATCTGTTATTTGGCGCTAACTTGTGCTGTAAGTTTCACTTGTTGAGGCGATGACGTCACTTCCAGTTAAGATAGTGGATGTTTTGTGAGGGTGTTTTGTGTGTGTGTTGGGGTGTTTGTGTGTGTTGGGGTGTTTGTGTGTGTTGGGGGTGTTGTGTGTGTTGGGGGGTGTTTGTGTGTGTTGGGGTGTTGTGTGTGTTGGGGGTGTTTGTGTGTGTTGGGGTGTTGTGTGTGTTGGGGGTGTTGTGTGTGTTGGGGGTGTTTGTGTGTGTTGGGGTGTTGTGTGTGTTGGGGGTGTTTGTGTGTGTGTTGGGGTGTTTGTGTGTGTTGGGGGTGTTTGTGTGTTGGGGGTGTTTGTGTGTGTTGGGGTGTTGTGTGTGTTGGGGGTGTTTGTGTGTGTTGGGGGTGTTTGTGTGTGTGTTGGGGTGTTTGTGTGTGTTGGGGGTGTTTGTGTGTGTTGGGGTGTTTGTATGTGTTGGGGTGTTTGTGTGTGTTGGGGTGTTTGTGTGTGTTGGGGTGTTTGTGTGTGTTGGGGTGTTTGTATGTGTTGGGAGTGTTTGTATGTGTTGGGGTGTTTGTGTGTGTTGGGGGTGTTTGTATGTGTGGGGTGTTTGTATGTGTTAGGGGTGTTTGTGTGTGTTAAGTGTTTGTGTGTGTTGGGGTGTTTGTGTGTGTGTTGGGGTGTTTGTGTGTGTTGGGGTGTTTGTGTGTTAGAGGTGTTTGTGTGTGTTGGGAGGTGTTTGTATGTGTTGGGGTGTTGTGTGTGTGTTGGGGGTGTTGTATGTGTTAGGGGTGTTTGTATGTGTTGAAGTGTTTGTATGTGTTGGGGTGTTTGTATGTGTTAGGGTGTTTATTGTGTGTTGGGGTGTTTGTATGTGTTGGGGTGTTTGTATGTGTTGGGGGTGTTGTATGTTGAGGTGTTTGTGTGTGTTAGGGGTGTTTGTGTGTGTTGGGGAGTGTTTGTGTGTGTTGGGGGGTGTTTGTGTGTGTTAGGGGTGTTTGTGTGTGTTAGAGTGTTTGTGTGTGTTGGGGTGTTTGTATGTGTTGGGGTGTTGTGTGTGTGTTAGGGGGTGTTGTGTGTGTTGGGGGTGTTGTGTGTGTGTTGGGGGTGTTTGTATGTGTTGGGGTGTTTGTGTGTGTGGGGTGTTTGTGTGTTGGGGTGTTTGTGTGTGTTGGGGTGTTTGTAGTGTGTTGGGGGGTGTTTGTGTGTTGGTGTTTGTGTGTGTTGGGGTGTTTGTATGTGTTGGGGTGTTTGTGTGTGTTGGGGGTGTTTGTGTGTGTGTTGGGGGGTGTTTGTGTGTGTTGGGGGTGTTTGTGTGTGTTGGGGTGTTGTGTGTGTTAGGGTGTTTGTATGTGTTGGGGTGTTTGTGTGTGTGTTGGGGGTGTTTGTGTGT